CCGCATTAAGTAATGTAACGAATCTTATTCTACAAGTAAATAGCACACAAGAATAAAAGATATCGGACTCAGAAAATAATTTTAGTTCGAAATTAATGATACACGTGATTTGCAATAATTTAAATAAAAGAAAATATTAAAAATGGAATTTGTTAAAAAAAAAGAAGTTTCTTAAATTTGGTATAACGCTGATCTTACAATCAGTGATGAAAACAAAAACGTTTCCACTTTTTAAGGTTCCGTGAAAAAAAAAAGAAAAAAAATATCTGCATGCATTCAATTCTATTAAAAAAAAAAAGAATCTCGCAGGTTCTAAAATCAAAGATAAGTGAAAAGACTCGAGAGATCGGCGATTTCCGATCCATTTGATAATTAGAATCGAACGCGACGTCTCGGAACGCATTTTCGGGACTCCAATCGTCCAGCCATTGTGCTTCAATCGGGGCGCCGTCGTCGCTTCCATGTACATACACTCGGCGACGATGTCCATCGCGATGCATACGTCTCGTGGACATGTCGGTCTCACGATGAACAACGTCGAACATTCGTAATTTTCTTTTCTATAAAAGACTAACTGACAAGAAATTACTTTTTGTACGCACTTTTTCCCGGTCTCTGGTCCTCTTATGAGGCCTGGACGTCTTACAACTCGTCTCTGCGTAAGGAGAGACTTTCACTCTCCGCGTCTGTCTCAGTCTGTCCTCGTCCCACTCTCTCTTTTTCTCTCTCTCTCTCTCTCTCTGTTTCCGTCCCCGATTTCTAATTGCACGACTGGCACAACGGTGAAGATTGAAGGCGTTATTTTAGCAGCGTTTCAATTGCATTTTCCCTCGAGTAAAGAAACTTGCACACCTCGCAATTAGGTACGTCGTGTAATTAACGCTAAATGTGATTTCACAATTATTACTTAAAAACTAAATTTTGTTCTTTTCCTATCTAGCTTCTCTATTTCTTTTCGATTTTATTGGACATTTCTTCAAATTCGAATTTTAAAATCGTTTTATTTTGTACATTATGATGTTTTATTTGAATTTAATTAAAAGTTGGAAATCTTAGTGTCTCTCGAAGAGTCATCATTTATTACTAAATATAGTGAATGTCCAAATATGAATGTTTATCAGAGATACATCGAAATAATAATTTTTTAAAATAATACATTTGCACGCGCTGCAAAATATTTTTATTAAATTAAATTCTATTATTACCTTAATACGTTTTAATAATTACACGAGGTAAAATGTAACTGCCGCTCATAACGCTTTCAATTAAAAAATAATCTTCATGTTTCGTTCCTGTAAGCAAAAATAGAATTTAGTTCTGATTTTCGCATTGACATGCATATCCTTTGCCATTCGTGTCTTAAAAGCGCTCCTACACGTGCAATTTAGGCGTACATTTTATTTTTTAAATAGTCGTGATATAAGAGAGAATGATAGAATCATATTTCTTTGATTTGATTGATTCGATAAAATTTCAAGAATTTTTTCAGCAAACTTAATTTTTAAGCTGTACATAAAATCGCGTTTGAAAAGGAAGAAAATTACAATAAAAATTGTGATATTCAGAAAATATGATTCCAATATAATAGAATCAAATGAAGAATAAATGCCATCACATTCACGTCATAACATATTTACGATACAATCAGTTCCTAAAACGACATGCCTTAATTACGCGTGACTAAAACACGAACGGCAAGGAGAGGTAATGGATGTCAATTCGAAGATCAGGTACGTTTGCGTCGTAAAACGTATCACTATAACAATTTTGAGGTTTTATATATAGCGCGAACAGTATACAATTTATTACGAAGCACGGTTTTTTGGTTTAGCGACGACGGCAACGAGAGGTATAAAAGTCAACTGAAAAGAAGGAATGATTTGTTGCTAAATAGAATAGATATGCCGATGAAATAATAATAATAATAATAATAATAAAATATACAATAATAATAATAATATATAGTAATGTGACACGGTAGTAGCAATATAATTATTAGAACACCGTCGACATCGCTTGCACGTCGACGATCGGGTGGTGTGTCGTATGGATAGAAAGCACTCGCGTTTATTTGTATGAAAAAAAGAAAAGAGAAGAGGCAACCGGCAGAACCTTTCGTTCGTTGCTGGAGGCATTAATTATAAAGTGACATTATTTGCGAATAATAATAATATAATGATACAGCGATAATTATAATAATTAGTTAATAATTAATAATAATAAAAATAATTATATTAATAATAATATAATAATAAAGTAAATCTATAATAACAAAGTTGCATCCAAGTATAAATTAAACGAAAACATTTCTCGTGTAAGCATAAGAAAGAGTTTTTAGCGCTTATATACAGAATGATATCGATTTTCGTAAACCACGTCAGTTTGTAGGCGCTCGTATTTTTTTGTTTGTAATAATTATTAATTCACGTCGAAGCAACGCGGGGTCGGCGTTTTCCCGTCGAGATTTGCGAGCAACGGACTTTTACAGTTTTTATTAATTTCAGGTTTGTGTCGCGAACGAAATGTCACAAACAATTGTCAAAAATGTCTCTTCGAGAAATCACACGGCCCGCGCGAGCGTTTCGACTTCCGCCTCTCACGCTATTTTCTTTCTCTTTCTCTCATTTGTTCATTCATCCTTCATTCAATCTTGCTCATTCTTGTCTCTCATGCATTTTTATTCTTTGCATTTTTATTATTATAGCATATTTTTTTATAATAGTAAATATTTCTATATGCAATAATTACCACATTTGTTTAATATAGTATTACAGTTATCACATTTTTTTGTTGGGAAAGGGCAATACATACGAAATAAATCGGCATCACCATAGCTCTGTCATTCGCGCCGAAGTGAGTCTCTCTCTCTCTCCTCGTCGCGATCATGGGTGCAACATATATCATTAAATATGAAACATATACATGTATATATATATATATAAAAAAAATGAAAGGCAGAAGTCAACGAGCCTCGCGACGAGAAAGAAATGTTTTCTTTCATCCGAAAAAAAGGAGAACGCCAGTCGAGAATCGACATGAGCGTTCCGGATAATTCACTCATACAAAGTATGTATGTCTTTCTCGATATATGTGTATGTGTGTGTGTGCGTGTGTGTCTCGTGTATTATGTATATATTTTATAAAATATATACACATGTAAAATATAACTACATTTTTCATACACTTATTTTGCCCAAACGCAACACATATCAATCATACTATTTTTTATCTCATTATTGTCCATTTGATTCTTTTCAACTTCCTCTCTTTCTCTCTCTTACATACACACACATTCATACATATACTCTCTTTGTCTTTCAATATTATCGCCATTCTCTCTCACCTTTCATACGTGTAGCCTATTCATTGTGATATGGAAGACAATCGAAGTTTACAAAAGGCACTTACTTGCGCGATCAGACGACCGCTATCACTGGAAACGACGTCGCTGCGTGAATTTTTTCGTATGTTTTCAAAAGAGGAAAAGTCTAACTATAGTTAGTTAGTTAAGTCTAACTATAGTTATATATATATATATATATATATATTTATCTGCTCGCTTCTCATACGATTAATAAAATAAAATTAAAAAAAAAATAAAGATCCTAAAACTATTCTACAGTCTCAGCTTTACAGTCCATTTGTGAAAATTGTGAGGAACAAACCTTTTGTTCTAGCAACAGCATGGATGTTGGTTTTAAAACAGAGTCGTACATACGTACAACAACCGTAATATTGAAGCGTTCACGTGTGTTATGCGGGCGTAAAACAAGTGGAATTGAAAACATATTGTCATGAATTTATGCCAACAATCGGTTTCATTTTTCGGAGATTTGCTAAATATTTCCCGGGATTAATGAAACCGATTGGAATAATAAAAGCAGCAGTCACGATAAAACGTATTCAATCCACAAAATGTAATTTTGTGATGACCGCTTTTGTAGCAAACGACGTCGTTTACAATGCGTTAATTGGCTTCACGCATCTCTCTTTCTCTCTCTCTCTCACTCTCTTTTACTCACTCACAAACTCATTCACTCTGTCATATACTTCCTCTTTCACTCGCTCTTTCTCTCTATCGTTCTTTCGCTCGCTCGCTGGAGTGCTTATTCTCCTTTCACTCTCGAGACAACTTTCCCTACCCTTCCTTCTTCGGAAAAGAAACTCGACAAAACGTAATCGTATATGTTATTTGGATATTGCAACATTTTACCTGCCCCGGATTTAACAACGTCGCTGTTTGTAACTCGAAAATCGAATGAAAGAAGGGAACGGACGTAGACAGAGTGGATTCATGGGGACCGTAAGGCGTAATGAGGATCTACCAAGTGAGATCAATAAACAACTTGCTCGGAAGAAAGTCACGTTTCGGAATAAATTTACGCTTGGTGTCCTCTGGCACCTACTGATCTATCCACAGAACCCTCCTCTCTCTCTTTCTCTTTTCTCATATCCGTTCTCCAACCATTTTCATATTCGGGCCTAAACAAGCAGACTGAGATTTCCGGGCTGATCTCACTTTTTTGCTAAAAAGTCACTCGCGTCTAATGATATGCGTCCAACTCTAAGAATATGAGAAAGAAGAAGAAAAAGAAAGAATATTAAATGATAAATATGTATCAATAATAATATGATAATATAATATATGTATAGTAATATAATAATATATTACAATAGTACGACGATATATATGAAAATTATGGTTATAATAATATATAAAAAAGAAGAGGAAAAGATGCTAGTTAAAGGGTAATGAAACCTGACGTGTGCCTAAAATGCTTCTCATGAATACGGCCGATGAAGGAAAACCGCGTCACGCAAACTTCTTTCTGCGTAAAAAATGAAAAAAGATGTTAATTCCATGTATCGACAGAATCCATTGCGAAGAAGCTATCGCCCAAATCTCGAGTCAATTCACGTGAAAACTCCTTTTTTATTCCGAACGCAAGACTCGTCGAGAATTCGCGTCTCTTTTCTTTACGGTTCGCGCGGCGACCGCTCTAGATCTTGAGGTTATCGAAGTCGCCCAGGGTGCTGCTGATCCTATTAAAGACTGGCAACCTGGATTCCGTGTTAGGTGACAACGGGGAGGGAGTTCTGGGTGTTACCTCATCGGACGCGAGGGGACTGCATACGCCATTATTGCGCGGGCTCGGGCTCTGTCTCGAGCAGGCGAGCAAACTGAAGTCTTGACTATAACTGAACGGTGTCGTCTGCATATTCCCGCATGAAAGCGTCTGCTGACTGCAGTCATCACTGAAGAAACTCGCCATGGAGTTCGTTGGTGATTGACTGAGGCTAGACGACGGCGAAACTGAATCAGCGGAGCTGCCGAGCGAGAACGTCGGGCTAAGATTGAGCGGTTTCGGTTTGGTCATTACCGTATTCACGGCGTTTACCGGACGAAGATGGTGTACCGCGTGATGATGATTCGTAGCCAGGCTCAGCGACGATGTTCGCAGCAACTGTGGCTGATTGAAGCCATTCGCACTGGTGGCAGCAGTACTACCGAGACTCAATGAATTTGTTCGCATGAGATTTGACGTAGTGGCAGCAGCCGCCGCAGCCGCGGCCACATGCGACGATGCGGCAAGTTGCTCGAGTAAGCTGACGTTGACGCTGACGTTATTGGCAGTGGCATTGTTGTTCGCGGCGGTACCGTTGCCGGTCGCGGATGCTACCGCAGCGGCAGCCGCACTCATCAGCGGATTTAAACCCACTATGTTGGGTTGCGTTGAGCCCAGCTGGGCGCTCACCTTCTGATTGTGTATACGAGCTTCCTCGAAATTGTGGATGAAGTGGCAGCGTGGTCCATACGGGCAAAAGCCAATCGTGTGGAAGGTGCGGCACAGCTCGGTCTTGTACTTTGGATGGCGTGCCAGGTTGCGCAACTCGCCATATCCATGCGCGAACTGGCATTTATCGCCGTACTTACATGAGCCACTCTCCTCATACGGTCGACAGAGCTCTGTCTTGTAGCGCGATGTTGGTTCACTCACGCTACGGTCCAGTTTTCGATGTTGTTCGATTAATGTGGTCATCAAGGAGGTGTAGCTGCGTTTCAGAGGTGCGTGTCCATTGCCGACGTTGTTGCCGCCGGCAGTGCCGCTATTCGTGCTGCTCGTCGTCGTTGGAGATGACGGAGGATCCTTCGTCTTAGTCGAGGCTGCATTCTGTAATTAAAAAGAAAAAAAGCGCGTTCAGTTAACCGTACAATTCCGAAATTGCAGTTATTCACGCGCGATGATAGACGCGTTATCGAATAGACGGAGAGGTGTCGCGCGGGTAATTTGATCTTAAAATGGCTGCGCGGATGATAACCGAGGCTTGGCAATTTGGCGATGTCATCGTGACGGCAAGATAGCGTGTCGGACAGATCGGCAGTGAGCTGTCGCCGCTGGTACGATCATTCGTTTCAATGGGGACTTAAATAATATGTCGTTTGCTTAAAAAAAAAAAAAAACGGAAGGTAGATGTTGCGACAGAGACTTATACAAGTGACAGATAAACTTTGGGAAGATTCGAAAGTGCTGAAAGTTCATAATTATACTTAATTGTAAGTATAACGTGCTTTAACTCGACTTTCGCAATATTTTTTAAGAAATTTCTCATATGCATAGCAATATTTGAACTTGCACAATTACCCGATAAAATTGAACTAAACAGATGTGCTTAATCCATCGAATATTTTACTGATTTTACAATAAGCGTAACTTGTTAATTTATACAATGTTATTTATTATATTACGTGAATATTCCTTTCGATAATTGTAACAATATTAATACGATTACATGAATTTTAAACATTTTTCAAAATTGTTATTGTTAAACATTGATTTAAATTAATTAAATAGCGTTAACTAATATTTATAAAAATAACTGTATGCAATATTTTATGTATAAAATTTAATATAATAGAACATGTGGCCAACAATTTCGACATTATCACAATCAGAATTAAAATAACGAATATTTTTATCGAACAAACACGTTACACAGTTCAACGCACTAAAATGGACTTATAGCACAGACATATAAATCAGCCTCAATAAGATCTCATTTATAAGCCCTTATCTCTCCTCACCCAGTATAATCAATAGATAATAGAAAATAGAAAATAAAAAGTCAGATAAAACGTATCTTCTTGAGTGATGCCACTTCAACTGCTGTTGCAACAATTAGTTCCACAAAGCTTTTTTTTGTTTAACCCAGATCTCTCTTTCATACCGTAAAGATAATATTTTTCTTTATTACTTCAGTAAAAATGAAGATAATCATAACAGATTTTAGATGGAAAGAACGATAAGTCTCTCATAAAATAATAAATCACGATAACTGAAATATGAGCAAGTACATTTACGAGCCACCTTTCGAATCACTCAAGGTAAATATTTTTTTTATTTATTATTCTGAATAGAAAGATTATTCTTTTGCAAGAATTTTACTGAAGTTTTTCAAGAAAAAGACCGTTTCTAGTTAAAAAGTAAGAACATTTTTTTTACTAAAGAGCTAATAAAATTCTGATACGTTTTCGCTATTATATTATGAAGAATATATCATCGAGATATGTGTGTGTGTGTGTGTGTGTGTGTGTGTGTATATAGAATACGAAGTGCATATAAATATCACATTGGAGCGATTCATTCATTATGCTGTCAACTAATTTGATATGGTCTTTCATAAAGATTGATGCGCACGAGGAGCACAAGTAGGGTTCTAACATTCTACTTCCTAGAATCACATGTAGTTTCTCTTGGTAACTACAATTCCTATTATTGTCAAGCGACTACACGCTTCTAGAAGTCATGCTCCATTAGGTGACTTGATTCATTACACGAGATGTATCTCTTTGAAAAAAAACAACATTATCATAAATTATGTGGCGCCAACTTTATGTGGATGTTAAGGCGCTTTTAGAATTTACGTGATAGTACTGAAATTTCTCTCTCAATAAGCGCTCAGAATTAAGTAAAATTTTAAAATAAATCACATAATTAATAAAATCACATTTAAAATAAAATTACATTTTGAATTAAACAAAAAATGGCTAAATAACAAGTAGATAATATGTGAAGAAAAAAATTTCAGAATATTACTAACAGAAGTGTATGAGTAGCATGAGTATTCATATGTTAATGAATAATGATCTTTTTTCAACATTTATGCAATGTTGCGAGTTGATGATACGATAAGTCACGTAAAATATACGAGTAAAATAATCATTTGTAGATTGACTAAAAAATAACTTGAGCGAGACGTGACGCGTACAAAAAACCATGTAGTGATAAATAACCAAATCAATATATCGACGTCAGAGTACCAAGAGATTCATAATTTTTTTAAAAAGTTCTTCGCAAAAAGAATCTATTTAAAAAATACATATCTGTATGTAGCAAGTTTTATATACTTAATTAACATTTATCATAAAAAGATGAATATAATATCTTCCACTCCTTAATAATATTAATTATTTTACCGTAATATTAACTATTTTAGAACGTTAAGATGTTATCATGAAAGAGAGAAGATATTATCGTAGATCAACTCTAAACTTTCAATCTTATTTATATCGCGCAATCGATAAACGAGATTATAGAGATTTTATTATATTGAGGATCAGAGATCAGATTTTGAGGACAGTAATTTTGCTTTTAGCCCGTACTTTAATGTAAAGGACAATAGAAACGGGACTTCGATAGTGAATTATCGCAAAAAATTGAAGTAGACGTAGAGTATCTATTAAACTTTTAACACGGCTTTGTATATTATCAGATTTTATAATAGGTTGTTATTCTCTGATGAAAAACGATTAGGCTCCTATACATAGCCTTCCGTGAAGATGCAAGTTTTTATAGTTTGTCACAATATTTTCTGATTATTGGCAATAAATTGCAGAATCTGAGCAAAATGAACTTGCAAAAAGCAGATAATATCATCACTAAGTCCATTATTTATATCTTTTTTATACAATAGATTCTTAATATTACATATATGTATGTATATACCGAATTGATTACATATGTACATATGTATAAATTATGCGATGTAGAAATTCACGGGTTATCTCCGTGTCTAAATCCATTCTTAGAATGCCTAAGGCAAAACGTATAATAATTTCTGTATGTGGAAGCCTCAAGAATATACATGTTATCTTTAAAAATAAAATGAGAATGTCTAACTTATATTATTCATGACACTGTCTGTCTGCTTTTCGCAAGTTTATGATTTTGCCCAGACTTAGCTATCTAATGCAATAATACAATCTATTGGCAATAAGCGACGAAAATTACGACAACCCATAAGATATCGTTATCACGTAATTTTCTTTTATACCGTCTCACACGACACACTACTAATTGTCAGTTACGCGCCCGGTGACGTATGCAGAAAAAATCTGACGTTTTCCCGAGCGTGAGATCGCAACGCGGGAGGATTCATGAGTCTGGAAATTTCCATCAGCACGTGCGCATACGTGCCAGAGCGAATTTGTTTGTTTCATTTGTCAGTATATGCGAGCGCAGAGCACGTACACACACAGGCGTGCGCGCGCGCGCGCGCGTGCAGAAGTAACTGCACACACTATACTTCATGTCGTAATTATTCCCACGTAGCCTCCGCGTGTTAAAGTGTGCGTTTATCGTAAGAGCACGATCGTCGGTAATCATTCACACGCATACGGCGCGCCTATTTATCGTTCACGCGTGCGTGCGCGTGCGTGATTACGAGTATGCATAAATCTTCGATTCGCACGCACATACGTACACCAAGACAAGAATATATCGCGTATCTAATCACGCCGATTTGCGCGCTCTCCGGAAGAATATTATCTATTTTTGATATTCGTGACGTTAAGGCGGATTCATCCTACTCAGAATCGTTCTGGGCAAGGAGCGATCGTATAATTGTGAAAGTGTAGAAAATTTATGCTAATCAATGATTGCGCGTTTTCGATGGAAAAAGTAGCTGTGCAACTGTTGTGAAATTCTTTTATACGATTGGTTTACACGTTTACGTCCAGGAACTAAAGGACAACAAGAACCAAGAATCTTACTGAATTTGTTGCAAAACTACTTTTTCTGTTGAACGCAACCAATTTGTTTCGAATTTTATTTTTAAAATATTAGGAATATCATATACATCTCTTTAAGAGAAATTAAAGTTGATAAAGAAGTTATATCCTCATTTATAGTATGATCGTTACGCTCTAAATATATAATTATGTATTTTACTTGACAGTCATAATATAAAACTATGTTAAATCAAACAGTCAGCTATCAGGAGAAATGAACGTTTTTAATGCAATTTATGCTACTCGCTAAGTTCTAGATAATTACCTATTAATATTAGACAATATAATATTAAGCAGTATTTTACATTTTTTGATGCTTCGACGAAAATTCTTTCATGTTCAAAATAAAATACCATTTTTTGTAAATTTGCAATTTTTAAAACAAATAATTAATTTTTTTATGTCTTACATAAATTCTTTTTTTACGTTTTTAAAGAAAAATATAAAACGCATGGAGGTTACTATTCTTTATTAAAATAAAAAAAGAAAAAAATTAAAAGTTTCAAGTCTTTTTCCGGAAATAGATTCCACCAGTTAAAGTACCGTATATATTTCTAGCGCAGACTTTTGACTGTGTATGTTCCACAGCGTCTATAGTGAGAGGAAGTACCGCCTATATTGGTAAGAGAAAAAATAAACCGGTTGGATTTTCTTCGTAGATGTTACGATCCTATGAAGCCGACGACGTATGGTTATGAGCGGCGTTTCCTCCATCGTCGTCGATGAATCACTATAATAGGCTAACTCGTCCCAAAAAAGCGTGGCATAAACTGTGTTTTCAATTATTTCAAGACGAACGTGCGACTCCGCAAATTTAATTTTTACTCACGTTGCGAAGTTGCGACACACGTGGCGAGTCCATTCATCCATTTTGCTGACAAAACGTGAGGCCAATAAAAACAGAGTCTATTTTTAAGCCCATTCTAAGATATAAAGCAGTGCCACTTGAACTTGAACCAAATTATTTTGGCGCATGAAAATATGATGATATTATAAGAAGAGAGAGTGCATTTAGTATTATTTTTCTCTTACGGGGAAAATCTATTTTTGCTTTGAAAGTTTTATATTTTAATAATTCTTATTTTTCACGAAAAGATATCATTT